ATATGCTCAATCAAAAATCTGTACTAGACTAGGTTTTGATATCCTTAACAAAACAGTATTTTTGACCATAAAAACCTCCCAAGTCAAAAAAAATAACGCAACGCTCAGTAGAAGTGTGGTGTATACTCGAAAGATTCGTATGTTCTATGAAAACGATGAGGGAACAGGGAACGGAATATCAAAATTTTACAAGCACCACCAATATGCGATTGATTTCCGTTGCTAACCAACTGTAGAGTTGACATTGGCAAAACAGCTTAAAATGCCGAGGGTTAAATTCGCGGCGGTAATATCATTTGATTCTGGGCAGTCCCATTTAAGTATGTGTATTCTATACGAATTTTTACATTTCACCGCGGAAAATCGCTCTTATTCTGTTTTCAAATTTTCAAATAATTTCACTTAAGTCTATAAAAATCCTTATGGTGGTTTCCTGAAGCAATGAAAGCTAAGGTTCGAATTGATAATTTGCCTTTAATGCCCATGGAATAATTTTGAGTAATTTTTGATTGCAACTGAAGAATAAAACTCTATACACATACGGCAAAAAAAGTAGAAAAAACCAAAAATAAACATACAGGGCCAAAACGAAAAAATATAAGAATATAAGAAAAATAACATAAAAATAAAATCCATTAAATCCTGTTCAGTGTTCTCGTATGTTTATAGCAGTAAACAAAATAGAAAATAAAAGAAAGAAAGAAAAGATAGAAGAAAATTAAAATAAAATTATAAAACTTAAACACATAAAGTCCTTCAAACTAATAAATATTTTTTTTGATATTAGAATAGAGCTTATGAGAATGAGATAAAATCCTTGTTAAGATGATGTTATTATGATATGAATGGAGAATGATCCTATTATACGAGTACATATAGCTGGTGGTCTGTGGTAATAAATGTGGCAATATTTAGATATAATAATCAATCTTTATGTTCTACTACATTCATTCAACCCCATCGAATTTTGTTTCCTCTTATTTTCTAATTACTAAAAAAGAAAAAAAGATTTTTTGATGGGCTTATGTGATATTTATAAAAACATATAAACAAAGTCTAAGGAGTACATAGAAAAAAATTTAAGAAAATATGTAGTTTTTTGATAGTTCTATCTTATGTTAAAACAAAATTAAATAATTTTAAAACTCATAAATATGTTACTTTCGCAGAATATTATTAATCTGGCGATCATGTCAATTACGTCAATCTTGTCAGTTAATTTTTTACAATTTAACAGAAATCTCCTCTTTCTTATTTGTTTTCCTTTTATGCATCAAAATCAGTCTGACCATTGTAAATGCTGCAGCAGCACATAAATTTAAAAAAATAAAAAAATTACAATCACTTGCGTTAGCCACGAAAATTAGAATTCATAACGCAAACGCCAAAAATATTGGAATTCATGACCTTTGCAAATTGTGTGCAAATGACGTGCTGGGAAAGTTTGCTTATTAATGGTAAAATGGTATATTGAGGCTCCAATTGCTTTCCTTATTTGAAAGATTTTGCGAAGCAAAGTGTGAAAATTGTTCAAAAACATAATACCTTCCTTATTATTTTAATTCAAGTATGCATAACTTCTTATAAAAAAAAAAAAACAATAATATCCTTTAAAGGACATCATGGTATTATCCTTTCAATTTATACCTAATAATAAGATAATGAAATAAAAAATCAAATAAAATAAAACAATAAAAAGAATTAACAAACTCTTAAGACTCTTAAATTTCAAGGCCAAATTAATTAAAAGATCCGTGAAATGATTTTATTTTTAATTTTTTTTTTCATTCATATAAATCTTCTTAAAAAAAATAATAAAGAGGCGGAAGCAAATGGAAATTTAATCGATTAAACAAACGGTTTGTAAAAGAGCACATTCTCCTTGAACAATAAAAAAAACTCCTTATTTCTTACTAAAAACCAAAAGCATACAATGTGTTTCTTACATTGATTTATCATAAATTTTAGCGGCTTGTTTTATTGCACATTCTTAAGAGTAAAATTTAAATTAAGAGAAGCAAGAGACAAAGGAAATTACGTGATTAATTTGGTCTTTTAAAATTTTTTATTATGTTTACTAGAGTTTTGCCGAAATGAAGGAATTAGTAGATATTCTGCCAGCGTGTGTCGAATGCTTATGTTGTCGCTACACTTGTTAAAGGGTGTTAATGGTTTCAACACAGTAAACGGTTTTTAAGACTCTAGGGTGTTATGCCCTTGTATGCAGAAGGAAATCAAAAGTAAAAGTCTTAAAGAGCATGTGCATGAAGTCTATTCTGAAGAATCTACACACAGACGGACAAATTTATACAATAAAATTAATTAGTACATTTTTTTTCACTCTTATTTAAAATGTGCTAAAAAAGTACATAACTAAAAACAAAATACTATCAAAAATCTTTGCTATTTCAGCAGTTTGCCACTTACTTTTAAGTCACTTTAAAAAAAAAAAAAAAAACAAGCAAAATATGAAAATTTTTCTCTTTGAATTTTGATATTTTTTTTCCTTCAATTTTAAGAAATTTCATTATACTTCTTTAGTAGGTTATATAACAAGTTTAACAAAAAATAATGTTGGGTCAAACCAATGGTTTGCATTGTAGCACTTTTCCCTTCAACAAGTGAAAATTCTGCAGTTAAATACAGTCCATGTATACCTATCACACTATAAATATTATTTCCATTCATATACAAAACTATTTCTAGGATTGCATATATTAAGGATGACGCATATATGCAGTCTTTGAAATAAAGCAAAAATTAACATAAAAAGAGGTTAACATAATGCTCGATTTTAAGGGTTAATTGTGTGAGATAAGAAAAATAATTATATTTTTTAATTTCATGGAATTTACCGTTAGCTTTTTGAGTTTATAAAAATTTGGAAAAACTTGCGGTTTCGGAAATATAAGGTGTCAAAAATTCAAATTTTACGAATTTCAAGAGGTTATACTCGTAACTTGAGAGGGGGTGAAGATGGAAAAAAATTTTCTTCTAACGAAATGAACTATTTGTTAATGTCTAAAAGCCCCTAAAATTTTAAAGTTCTAGAGTATGGGGTCTAGAAGAAAAATGACATCAAAAATTTGGAAAAAAAGAACTTTAGATAACGGTAAATTTGAGCGGCCATTTTGTTTTTCTAAAGTTTAACTATAGTATACCACACTAGAAGAAGCAAGCCGCTGCCTTTCTGCGTTTGCAAAATTTCAGAAATGCAACATTTCATTGCAACAAATATTTAAAAAAGGCCATTTTTAGTGTTTTGGGGTGGTATAACTTCTAGCGGAGGGGAGATAGGTAAAAATTTTGTTCTACGGAAATAAGTTTCTAGTGAAGATCTATGTACGTATGAAATTTCAGCTTTTTATCATCAAGGGTGTAGAAGTTTTGTAAACAAAAAAAGTGTCCACGGACGGATGGACGGACGGACAGAGTGAAACTAATAAGCACTTTTTTCAAAAAATTTTTTGGAAAAGTTCTAAAAACTACAATTTGATTTAAGTATAAAGTTAAAAATTCTAATTCATTTTTTGTCTCTCTTTGTTTTTCCTACTTTCAGAGCTGTTTCGTTCCGGTTCTATTAATTTTTTTTAAAGTCATCATCACACTCTTTTAGGACAATATCTTTTCTTCTTTTTCTCTCTTTTATATGTACAAATGTCAAGTACAACCAGAACGAGTACAACAACCGAAAATTCCAGTACCGTTAAACTTCATTTTTAACATAATCAAATATCCATTTTACAAGCTGAATTGTAAAAAAAAAAAAAAGAAAAGGAATAAAAAGTTTTGAAAATTAAAGAGACAAACACGTTGAGAGGTTTTTTTTAAACTTGTATCATCTCATTATTATAAATTAAAGAGCGCCAGAAAATAAAAAACAAAATAACACAAAAATAAATAAGTAAAACACAAAAAAAGAGCTTAAAGGCAATACTTACAATATACAAACATTTGTATATACATATTATATATTATGTTACACAGAAAAGAAATAAAAATATAAAAAAAGGCAACAAATAAAATTAAAAGGGATCAACTTGCAATATTCGAATGGAAATGAGGAGATTTTAAAAAAACAATAAAAAATAAAAATAAAATTTTTGTTTTTATTGGATTTTTTTTTCTACATTCTACAATGGAATATTAACTGGGTTACTCTGGTAATATTCAAGAAAAAATTGCAAGGAATTTTAAAATATATATACTTATAAATTTAATTTTTTAAGGATCACATCTCAGGGATCAGTGATACTTATATATAAGAAACGAAGATTTTTTGATTTTTATTTTTTTTGCATTGATTCCTTATATTCGTTTTGTTTTCTCAGTTTCGTTTTTTCTTTTAGCGCTTTTCCAAAAAACAAAGGAAAAACCCGTTTATTAGTTTCATTCTGCCCGTTCGTTCGTCCGTCTGTGCGTTACAAAGTTTTTACATTCTTTGAGATAGAAATTAGATCTTTTAAACTCTTTGATAATTAGATCATTAGTAAAATCTTATTTCTGCAGAGGAAAATTTTTTCTTATCTCCCCCTCCCCTCTCAGCACTATAGACCATTAAAGTTCTAAAAGTGCCATATTTTGAGTATTTATTGTAACGAAATCACAAAAACTGGCATTTGGAACATTCTTCTTCTAACGCAGCACTGAAAAGTTGAATATTGAAATTACAAAATGGCGATTGAAATTAGTGGATATTGTAAACCCGTTATTTTTTTTTTCAAATTTTTGAAATTTTTCTTACTCATCCGAAATGTATGCAATAAATTGATATATTTTGGTATATAAATAAAATTACATAATTTGAATAATGTAGTAGATTATTTTTAAAAGCGATGTTTTTACTTGTTCAAGGAAAAGTGCTGCTTTACAATCCATTGGTTTAATCCAACTTTATTTTTATTTTATTTTAAAGTGAAATCAAAGAAAGATGACTTAAAAAAAAAACTAAAATTACAATTTGAATAATTTTTATATTTATAATAAATGATCCGAATTGAATGAATGAATTTATTTTTTATCTGTGATTTATAAAAAGTGAGAAAACGCAAAAAAAAAATTAAATAAAAGAGAAAATCATTAAAATAAAATGTTATTATTCGATTTGATTTTGGGTTTTTAACCAGTTTATTTATAATAATTTCTTTGCAAAAAAAAAAAGAAAGCAGACAAGAGAGAGGAAGAAACGAAATTTCGAATTAATCTCACTCTCAAATTTAATTTTTCCATACATATAACTCTTAAAGAAAAACAATTCAATAAGCATAAAAAATATTGAAAAAAAATATATTGAAGTTAAAGTTAAAAAAACTTATTTTTAAATTCAATTAACAGAGTACTGCCAAAGTAGTAAAAATATTTGTTTATATTGTTGTTCTTGTTTTCCAAATTTATTCTTTTTGTTTTAACGAAATGATTTACACTCTATTGATGGTATTTTCTAAAAGAGAATGCATTATTATCACCACTTTCAAAAACAGCGAAATCAACAACATCAACAACAACAACAAGTACAGAAAAGTAAACAATACCAGCAGCATAAACAACAAGAGCCACCACAACAGTGTTATTATCGAAAACAATTGCAGTATCAGAACGAGAATTATTCGTATAACAATCGAATAAATCGGATTAAAATTTTTCAACTAAAGAATAGTATATATAATAAGCGGTTTCAATGTGTAAGTACATATATTTTTTAAAATATCTAATAACATAAATAATTTATTAAAATATTTTTAAAATGCAGTTGGAGATAAAAATTAAATTGACATTAGAACAAACTTTTTACAAAATAGAGTGGTAATCAGTGCAGGTAACCTCTTACCTGTAATTCGCGTAAAATTTTGAACTATTTGGGTAATATGTCGATCTGCATAGTTGCTTTTCGCGTACGTAGAAAGCAGATTGGTACTATATTAAAGAAGTGGAGAAAAAAATGGACACAAATAGCAAATTTCGAAATAGCAAAGTATGACGTAATTCAAATTTTTTGTAAGTTAGGAGATTTGTAAATATTTATTTTTATAAAAAGTACACATAAATTCCTGTTTACCGTATAGTACTTACAGTATGTAATTCTATGAAAACTAATTAGGTAATAACTCACAATAAACTTCAAATTTTGTCTCCCCCCACAATTAAATTAATGCAAGAAGAAAAATTAAACAGTATAAGAGCGCATCAGTGACAAATCAACCCTGTAAGCACATTAAGCAACAAACCCATAATTTTCTTCCCTAAAACTATTCCCGATAAGCTCAATTTAAAACAAAATAATACGAGTCTACTCTTAATGTCTATTGAATTTCAGCTCCATCTGCATTTAATTAGATATTCCTATATATGATTTAAAATTAATTAAAAACAAAAATGAAAAGCAAAAAGAACAGAGATTTTATAATTAAATTCCAAAATAGTTTTTATAAAAAACATAATTGATTTTTAAATGTTTATTTTCATAATTATACCCATAAATTTTTATTGTTTTTTTTTGCTGAATAATTAGAAAATATAGTTAATTATCCTGTCAATTTTATTTAATAGAATGAAAAAGTTAAATATAAACCTGTTTAAATAATTTCCAAATAATTTAGCGCCTTTTTATATATAAAATGTTCATATATATTGATTTGTATTTTATGTGTGTGCCTGTGTGTTTAGATGCCCGTTTTATAGTTTATACGGATATTTTAATTTTGAAATTTAATTATTAAATAATACTATGGGTTATCGCCTTCAGGAACTAAAAATTTTGCAATTAAAAAATCAAAATTGTTAACTAAAAAATTGAAAATAAAAAAACAAATTGTTTTGTATTCAATAATTTTGGAAATGAAATCATTATTGTAAGGATATGTGTTGTATACAATATGGTTACTAAACTGAAAATTCAATTGGAATTTTCATTTACTGTTATCTTCTACAATGCTCACAGACAACTGCAGAGTTTTAATACATACACGTAACTTTTACAGCATTTATGAGATGGTATAAAAACACGATTTGTCGTGAAAAACTAAGTGCTTGCATAATGAATAAATTTTATAGAAAGAATGCTATTTACCTACTGATTTTGACTTGAGATAGTCATTATGGTATATTTGAATATTTATTCCCTAGTTAAGTAGTTTTACTAAATAAGTCATATTATTTTGAATACTGCACCGACTTTCATATCATTTAGAAACTGAGCATCTATTGATAGCTTGTTAGTTATTGCGTATTTTGAATAATATACTAAGCTAAAACTTATAACCTAGGATGACACGTACAATAGTAATATTAATATCCTAAATGTTTTTTGGGTGTAATTTAAGCAAAGCCAAATCTAATATTGAAATTTTTACAAATTCCTTCAGTGATAATCATTAATTAGTTCTATCAGCACTGCAATTTCCTTCTAATAATTTGGATACCATTATAAAAATATTTTAAATAACAAAAAACTATTTTAAGTATATTATTCTATTGAGTGTGAATTTCATTAACCGCAAAATTACAAAATATAAAAAAGGATTATTTCAATTTCGATAACTATTAAATGTTTAATTATTGTATTAAATAAATATTCAATTAAAAATAATTTCTAAGATTTTTACCATCATTAGATATTTCGTTTTTTGAATTTGATTCTGAATAATTAAAAAATACTAAAAATTAAAATCATATACGTTAATAGTTTATCATCATTATTACAATAAAATAAGAGTTTATGTGTTATATTCAAATAAACGGATAGTTACAATAGAAGGAGTGCTACTCAAAAATTGCATACTTTTAGGGAACTTTTTTCAAGTTTTGATAAGAAAAATTTAATTAAATTTCAAAAATTTTTAAAATATTTTATGAAAAGATTTTGGTAAAGATTTAATTTATTTTTAATTTTGAAAAAATTTGACAATAAAATCTTTGAAATTAATAAAAATTTAAAAATTAATTATCTTTAAATTTTTTCTCAATTTTCATTAACAATAATTATTTTTAATAACAAGAAAGAGAAAGTCTACTTAATTATATTAAAAATCTTTAATAATATTAAAAATAATTAACTTAATTTTTTTTGAGAATTTTCTGATAAATCTAGACGCTTTTAAAAAATAAAATAAAAAAAAAAACAAATATCCAATTTTCTCCTATCCTTTATGAAAAATATTTAATTTCTTCTACATTTATTGTTTATAATATTTAATAAATCTTGCAATTTTGTGCTGGGTACAATTAATTACCAGGGTTCTCCCTTACATTATTCGTACCATTATAGCCCTCTAACTCCAACACTCAATTTCAATGCCTTATGAAAATTTCAGTTCCCTTATACATGTACATATATCAATCAATATACATAAATTGACTACCAAGAGTAAATTTTCTAATATGTCCAATTAATTTAAAAGAATATTTCCTAAAGTAAAAAAAATTACATTAAATCTTTTATATTTTCGTCCTTTTTAATTATTCAAATTTAATAATAAATAATTATTAGACTAGATATTAAATTTATTTTAAAGATTCTTTTGCCTTCTTTTCTATGAAAATATGTCCGCTCGTAATTTTTCTTCTCATACTTTTCAACAGTTAAAATAAATTCAAACGATTTACTTATTTTCTCTATAGGGAGTACCGTAAAAAATGGAACTGATATTTCATTTTAGGATATTTTTCTTTCAAATCTTTCTATTTCCTTCCTCCCTCTCTTTCTTTCTCTCTCTGTTTCGTTCTCCCTGCAAGTCTCTGCTTTAAAAAATAACACCAAATATTTATATTAAAAAAAATGTTTTTTTCATGTATATATTCTACTTTTATCTAATTTCAAGGTACATGTTTCTCCTCTGACTGGGACCCGACCCCTAAAGAAAATATTTTTGTTAATTAAATTTTTGTAAAAATAAAAAGCGACATCTTTTGACATTAAGGGACAAAATTTTTGTAATTTAATTTTTTTATTCTTGATTTTCTATTCTTCTTTTTTCATATTCGAGTTGTAAAAGGTTATAACAAGGCAAAAAGAATGAGAACGAACAAGTTTAAAGTGAAAACCCTAATAAAATGCCCTTCAACTCTCTCAAAATTTTCATTACATTGTTTTCTTTTTCTATTCTTCCATATACTATACTTTAATATTAAGCAGACATAGGCTCGTCGTCTTGAATAAATAAAAATTTGTGGGTCATTTATGTTCCTAAGTCAATTTGATTAAAAAAAAATTAATGCAGTTTTTTTGTATTTCTTTTTTCTTAATTTTTGTAAGTCACCCATTAATTTGTAATATTATTAAAAGTGAATGTAGCTCCAGTATAACTTTGGTTTCACAATTTTGTTTTGTCATAAAAACAAAAAAGAAAGAGTTCTTTTTCAAATTATTGGTTGTAGAAGAATAAAATAACGGAAATTGATATTATAAGCAACGTGTTATTTTAACAGTATTAAATTTTATAAATTTTTGTGAATTAAAAGCGGTAAAGAATAACGGAATTACAACTATATTTATTTGTTGTTTAAAATTCAAAAATTATACAATTATACTTTAATTATAGCATTCTATTCTCCGGACTATCTTTGCATAACAGTCTTGGCGCTTCTAGTCAAATACTATATTATTTAATTTTTCTTTTAAAAATAAAATCTACCCTATTATATTATGTAACAAACAACTTTGTAAAATCTTTAAAATTTTACTTCTAAGGAAAATAAAATATAATTGAAACAAATACGATATTTAAGATCATTACGTATTCAAAAAATTTTAAATCTTTAGAAGAAAAACCATCATATAAATTCATAGTGTTATTCACCCGGGAAAATAAACTTTAAAATTTTTGGCTAATTCTTTCATTACCCTCCTCTTCTTTAGTTATATATGCTGAAGAAGAAAATAAAAATCAGCGACAAATTATAAAGACATTTTTATAATTTCTCATTATTCTTCTTACTTTTTTTATAAACAAATATTGTGTACTTTTTTACATTCTCATAACATGTTTATATTTTTATTTTATGGTTACTAAATCAAATAATGAGAATTCCCACAATCACCGACACATCGAAACCAAATCATTATGCTACACTACTCTCTTTAGAGAACAAAATTGTGTAGTAATTATTTTTCTTTTTAGCTACAACTTATAACCGTATAATTTTGTTGGTCTGATAGAGAGATGGTTGTAGAGTCCCCTTAAGAACAGTGAAAAGCGATAAGCCGTTCAAGTTATTTAATTTACAATTATTAAAACTTTCATACGTTTCTCAATTCGAAATTGTTTAGTAGAAGTGATATGAAGAATTTTTAATAGCAAATTAATATGCAGAAATGTTGTTTTTAAATTTTAGAAAAACGTATTCATATTCGAAATTTAAGGGAATATTAAATAAAACTATAAAAGACATAATGTTTAAATTGATTCCTAAAAACAGTTTTTTTTTTGCATTCTTAAGTTAAGCGCACAATTCCATACTATCATACATATATCTCTATTTGTTTCGCAACCCCTTTGATTTGTCCTCTCTGAATGAACCGAATGAACACAAATATGTCGATATGAAAAAGTACTTGTTAGAATGCAAGTTCTGAGTAGGTTATGCTCAAAATTTCATGTTACCATATATGAATACCTGTTTCGCAGCTCCTTTTGATTCGTCCTGTCTGAATGAATCGAATGAACAAAAACATGTCGATATAAAA